CGGCGAGAGCGGGTCGGAGCAGAGCGAGGAGGGGGAGGGGGAGGGGGACGGCAGGGAGGGGCTGGAGGGGTACGAGGAGAAGCGCAAGTCGTGCGTGGCTGCCATCAGGCGGGACCTGGGGGGCCTCGTGCGGAGCAAGGGCTTCTTCTGGGTCGCGACACAGGTGGGCCGCTGGGGCACGCGGAGGTGGCTGGGCTGCGGGGAGGACAAACCAGCAAGCGGCGCTGCCAGCCGTGCACCATAGCATTCCACGCGCGCCTCGCGCCCGGAGGAGCCGTGCCCAGGCTGCTTTCTGCGGTCTTTGTGTCCATGCCTGCGGCGTCCCTTGCGTTTGCCACCGTAACGTGTCAGCTGAAGCGCTGCAACGATCCCTCACGCACCGCTCGCGCGCCCTCTTCCACCCCTGCGCCCCCAGCACGACTCGATGCTGGAGTGGAGCCACGCCGGCGTGCTGCTGAGCGTGGGCCGCCTTGGCCCCTGGTTCGCGGCCCTGCCAGAGGTGAGAGGGGGAGGGTTGAGGGGCGGGCGCGAGCGGCCTGGGCCGAGCAGAGCGTTGTCCATTGGTTGATAAAGCGCTGAGGCGGTGCTTCGAGGGGTAGCCTGCAGCTGGCCTGGTGGCTGCTTTGCGCCTCGGCCAGCAGGCAGCCCGCGGCTCTCACACTCCATATTCCCTTCGCATCCGCTCTACCTCGGGCAGAGGGCATTGCACTCTCGAGGCGGCCCCGAGCGCGGGCAACCCCCTGCGTTCCCCCCACTCAAAATGCGCCACCCACCCACCCACACATCGCCCCAGGAATCGTGGCCGGAGGACGCGACCGCGCGGGAGCGCATCCGCGCGGACTTTGACCCGACCTCGCCGCCCGAAGCCGTGGGTGACAGGCGGCAGGAGGTGGTGTTCATAGGGCAGTCCCTGGACCGCGAGGCCATCACGGCGGCGCTGGACGCGTGCCTTTGCAGCGAGGAGGAGGTGGCGGCGGCGGCGGCGGGGCGGCTGGAGGACCCGCTGTTTGGGGATGACGACGAGGAGGAGGGGGAAGGGGAGGAGGAGGAGCAGGAGGGCAGGGAGGGTCGAGGCAAGAGGCAGGAGAAGTAGGCGCGGCATTCGCGCTTCTCGCTCTGTCTTGAGAGGCCGCGAGGCGGGTGGGACTGCGCAGGCTGTGGCGGTGGAATTTTGGGGCATTGCAGCATCCACCGTCCACCCTGAATGCTTGCACCTGCCCGAGCTGTAATGCGAATCCTGAATCGGCCTGGAAGGAACCATGCCTTCTTGTGCTCAACAAGCAAGCCTGCCAGACATCCACAAAACTCAGACGCTGTGGTGGGGTTGTGGCACCATCCCGCCGGCATGGACGCCAAATGCCATGCCGTGGCTTCACTCTTAATCTTTCACTTTTTTCCGGTATCAATCAAAGCCAACGCTCGGGGGCCTGACTTGCAGTGGGTTCAGTTGATGGCGTGATGACTGGCGCTGGTCCGCAGGACCAGCCAGGTAATCATGATGCCCATTGGCCGCTGATGTGGGGTGACACCAATTGCTCTCGACACACCTTGATTGTTGTGGATTACATTTGGATGTTGCAGCAAACAGTGATTACAGATTAGCAGCACCAGCAAATCACAAGGTGATCAAGGAGTACCCCGTTAGCCCGGCCTCCTCTTTGGCAATCGAAAGCAGGACTTGCAGCAGTGCGTACACGCAGACCTCTTGAGTTCGGCGCCGACCTGAAGTCAATGATGGCGGCAGTCACCAGCATGTTCCAGTGACGCATGCAATGAAACCGCCGACAAGACGGTAGGAAGCAAGGGCGGCGTCCGCGCGAGCTCTGCCACGCGGGCGTCGGCCTTGATGGCGTGTCTTGGCAGCCGCTCAAGGGGCCGCTTTTGAAAGTCTTGCGGGTGGGGCCCAGCTGTGGGCGGCAGAGCCTCAGGCCTTGCTGGCGCCGAGGTACTCAGAGATTGCCTGCGCATGAGACAAACGGTTCGGAGGCATGCAGTCGGCGCCTCGTGCGGTGCATTGCCAAGCGTCACATCGCTATAGCGACCAGGCCGTGATCACTGCAGCAGAGGGCAGCTAGAGTACAGGTCGTTGGGCTGACAAAGAACCGGCCCGCAGGCGCAGCCCAAGACCTGAGGGGCCGCCCCTCACCGGCAGGGCCTTGAAAGCGGTGAAGAAGGCCAGCAGGCGCTGGTGGCTCTGCAGCAGGTCGAGGCCCTGGGTCGTGGTGTCGTCCCAGATCTGGAGGTGACGAGTGGTCGCGATGAGGGAGCGTCAGTGAGTGGGCGACAGGGAGACGGGGCGCCAGCAAAAGTCAGGGCTCTGCGGGCATTGCGTCGCAGGCACAACATGTTGTGCTGCACCCTGCACGCGACCAATCAGCAAGGCCACCTATTGAGCCAAGTCGCAGCACGTCACACAGGCCAGCGCAGGGCTCCCCCCCTCAGGCCAGCCGTCTGCGCGCCCTGCCGATGGCTCACCTGTGAGAACAGCAGGGCGTCCGCATAGGTCAGGGCCCCGCCGGCGGTGGCTGAGGCCCCGGTGCTGCCGTAATAGCCCAGCAGGGCCTCCAGGCCGGCATAGTACCTATGGAGGTTTTGGGATGTGGTGCCCGGAAGATTTCCAGTCAGCAAGGGGGAACGGGGGTCAAGTGACGACGAAGGGGGCGAGGCGATGCGCGTGTCAGGTACATCCCCCAGGCTGACCAGGAGCAGCAGGCAGAAGCTGGAAGGCTGGGACGGCCACCCGGCATCGGCAGAGTTCGTGAAGACAGGCAGTCAGACCAGTCAGCCCGTGCGGAGCGCGGCTAGCGCAGTGAATGGTGATGTTGGGAGGCGTGTAATACAACTGATAGAATGCGCCGTTGCCAGTGCACGAGGCTCACTTGGGGCGTGCGCTGGCGTAGGTGGCCTTGGCGTCGTCGCCGCCCAGTGATGCCACCCAGGCCTCCCTCCAGGGCACGTACTCGTCGGCCACGCCGTCCGCTGCCAGGTCAGCGTCGATGTCCTTGCCGTACAGCCCTGCAGGGACACAGCGTTGACAGCACAGGGCGCAGCCGTAAGAACAGTTGCAAACACATCCACGATGAACAGCCGAGGAACACCGAGCAGTGGATGCCGGGGTGCTGGTGCCCGGGCTCGACATGGCAGCAAGCCCCGGGCGCGACTGGCAATGCCGGATTGCTGCGAGAGGCGCCCAGGGCCGTCCAGGCAAGGCAGTGCTGGGGCTGGGCCAGGCTGAGCATTCGGAGGCGCAGGGGCACGCGCGCGGTGGCCAGGCTGCGGCGCGGCGCACCCTGGGCCTTTGCGAGGTAGCGGGTGGTGGCCACATGCTGGATGAGGCGCTTGGACCCGACGGTGATGACGGGCAGCACCCCCAGGGGGGACTCGCCGCTGTCCTTCACCTCCTGCTTCACGCCGGCCCTCCACTCGGCGAAGTCCACCAGGTCCTCCTGCGCAGGGGAAGGGGGGGCGGCGTGCGTCGGGAGAGGGGGCCGGGTGTTGAGAGGCGAGGGCTGGGAGGTTGGTGAGTGGTGGAGTTTGTTGGGGCAGTGCAAATGGTGCGGGTAGAGCTGTTGGTTGCAAGGGGGGCAAGGGCGTGAGGAATGCTGGGAGAGTTTCGTGAGCGATTAAGTGGGCCCAGGGATTTGGATTAAATCGCCGCGAGCGGTCCTGGTGGCCCCTCACCTTGTAAGGCACGCGGGCGGCCAGCAGGAAGAAGCGCACGGCCCCGCCGCGCCCGGCGAGGCCGTTGGGCAGCGCCAGATACTGTGCAGAGAGAGGTTGATTGCATAAGAATTGTACGTTCAGTGTCGCAGCCCAAGTGTGGGGTTGGCTGCCGAGCTGGCGCTGCACGGACAAGGTGCCATGTGCTGATGTGCATCGGCAACGAGGGGCCACCCAAAAATGCTCGTCATGCACACGGCGCAGCGGAATGGCCGCGTGGCTGACCTTGAAGGTAACCGGATCGACGATCGCCATTGCACAAACCGGGACGGAGGCTCCGAAGGAGCTGTTGAGCAGGGACAAGGCGGCAGAGGCGGGCTGAATGACGCGATCGGATCGAGCTTGTTTCGTTGGTGTAGTAAACAATGTCTGTCAAAATTTATAAAAGTATACCTCATTACCTTGGAGTCGTAGTCGGCCGTCACCGTCTCATCAGCCTCAACGGGTGCGTCGCAGGTGACGCATACCTACATATGCGTATAACACCGAGGACTCATAAAAGGCTTGTTTGCAAAAAGAGCAGCCACCCTGATGCCCGTACACGCGCTTTGTACCCGTCGCTGTTCGCTGCACCGCTCTTTCGGCAAGGGGTTTGTGCCCTTCGTAACAAACAGGTCGCGGTTGCATAGCCAGCGCATTCACGGCGCATCTTGTCCAGCACCGCCCACATCGTCCCGCTCCCCTGGCCGCTCCCCGGGCCGCTTGCACACCCGCGCGCCGCGAACTGGGCAACCGAGGCGAGGTCGTACCTCAGCCATGCCGGAGGTGCCAGCCATCGATGCCGACACGCTCAGCCCCTTCCACTGGGGGGAGCAGCACGTGCAGCGCAGGGCCGCCGTGCGCGACAGGGCCGAGGATGTCGGTGAGCGATCAGGCCTGCGCCGCCGACACCAATGCGCGGTTTGCAGGAATTCGAGTTTTGCAGCTCCTGCCTGCCCATGCGCAAGCCACAGATACTGAGTCAAATAGATACGCCGCATCTACCTTGCGTGGCCGTTGGCGCACATGCTTTTGCACGTGACACACCGCCAGCTTGCCAAAACCATAACCGCCTGGGTGCACCCCTGTGCAGGCCGCCGCTTCATCCGTCCGTACATGCCAGACCAGCACCGCGAGTTTTACGCAGAGCTGGTGAGCCCGGGAACAGTTGATGGACCGCACGGCATCGCCGCTGTGTGCGTCCTCGGTTCTTTCTTGCGCTTCGGCGCATCCCGGGGGCCCAACGCGCCAATTGCCACCAAGTTGTTGGTGTCACAAATGTGCTGCTGCGGCATGTGCTGCGCTGGTTTGCACCTGAATCCTGCTACCAACAAACATGGTTTCAACTCATCCGTTCAACGGGCGCATGGTGCGCAGCGTGTGGACGCGCCTGAGCACACGGCATCACCACAGGGGCCGCGGCCGCAAGACCAACTCATTCAACCCGCCCGCCGCCCACCAATCCCAGATGTTATTCTTTGTGGGCAGCGTGGACGCGGAGGGGCGTCCCTGGGCCTCGGCGCTTTTTGGCCGCCCGGGGTTTGTGTCCGCACCAGACCCGCACCACATCGTCATCGCGCCTGGCAGCCGCGGCGCCGCAGGTCAGCGGTGCTGACACCACATGCATATGCTGTCCGAAGACAGGGGAAGGGGTTGGCGTGTCTACGGCAGGGGACTGGGGTGGGAGGTCAATGGCGTCAGGGATGCCGTCGGCTGGCGTCAGTCAACCTGCCCGTCCAGGCCGCGATGGCTGCACAGTACACGCCCACAGGCGCACTTTGAGCACCCCGTCCATAGACTTGTGCCTTTGTCCATCCGATGCACTGCAGACCCGGCCAACCTGGCGGTGGGCTCCAAGGTGGGCGCGCTGGGCCTGCAGCTGCACACCCGCCGCCGCAACCGCGTCAACGGCACAGTGGTGGCCGCCACCCCTGAGGGCGGGCTGCTGCTGCAGGTCGACCAGTCGTTTGGCAACTGCCCAAAGTACATCCAGGTGGGCGGTGGGACTGGGTTCCCCAGTAAGGGCCCATTTCCTTCATCCTGCAACACGCAGCGCCATAGCAGCCAAGCGCACCTGGACAGGTGCTGCACCGCTTGTGCAACAAAAGGCATTCTTGCCTCCGGATGTGCTTGCTGATGATGCTGCTGCTGCTGCTGCTGACATTTGCTCCATCTTGCTTGCGTTGACACCCGCTTTGTCATCCCCCCTCAATCTGCTGCCGTCATCAGACGCGTGACATCACTCTGGACGAGGACCGCCTCGCCGCGCACCATGCTGCCTCCACTGATGCGCAGCTGACAGCCCCGGGTAGCCCCTCGCAGCAGCAGCAGCAGCAGCAGCAGCAGCGTGGCGTCGGGGCGCTGGGCCCGCGGCAGCGGGCGCTCATAGCGGGGGCTGACACCTTCCTGCTGGCCACATGCCTGCCACCAGGGCGCGAGGAGGTGAGGGCCCGCAGGGTGAGGGGCCTGCACATGCTTGAACTGACCTCCAGGCGGCCTTTCCTATATTCCTGCTTTCTGAACCACCCATACATGCGGCTGGTGGAGTTTCTGGCTGCGGCAAGTTGGCCAACGCATGATTGCGCCCGATACCCGCACCACCCGCGAGCAGGGGGACGGCACCGCGGGCCCTGCCCACACGGCGGCCACCGGCTGCGATGTGTCCCACCGCGGAGGTCCCTCCGGCTTTGTGGAAATCGACGAGGCGGGCCTGCTCCTGACGTGGCCGGACTACGTTGGCAACAACTTCTTCAACAGTCTGGGTGGGTCTCGGGGTTCTTGGTGGAGTCAGCTGATTCCTGACATTGTATCCAGTTGCTCCACACCCTCCTGCTGTTTCCTCCAGGTCTGCTGCGTGGGTGTCCTCAAGGCCAGTGACTGCAACGAAGGTCACGAACTTCAAGTGCCCCCCTTTCCCTGCCGCACAACGCAGGCAACATCGCCGCCAACCCGGCAAGCGGTCTGCTGTTCATCGACTGGCTGACGGGTGACACCCTGCAGGTTGCGGGGGAGGCGGTTGTTGACTACGAGGCCACGTCACTGCCGGGAGCGCAGCGCACCGTGAACTTCCAGGTGAGTAGGTGCTCACGGCTGAAAACACACAAACTCTTGGTGCTTGGTCAAGGCGACGGGGTGCATCGACAGACGGGCAAGCAATGGCAGCAGGGTGGGCGTGTGTTTGCGCCCTGCTTCGAGGTGTCGTTGAGCACAGGCAGTCAGTGCGGGTGGCACGTCGTCGCCACGCAAGGCAACAGAAGCTCAGCGCACGCAGCTGATGCCGGCCGCAACTGATGCAGGCCCACGCACGCCTTGGCACAGGTGCGCGAGTGGGTTCACATCCCCGCCGCGCTGCCAATCCGGCCGGCGCCTGTGATCGAGCGCAGCCCGTACAACCCACGCCTGCTGGCCGGCGCGGGCCCCGCGCCTGAGCCGGTGCGGCTGGTGCGAGTGGCCCTGGAGGCGGAGGGCATCAAGACGGTGAGGCGCTCTGGGGCCGGCCTACTGCATTGTTGATCGCACTGCAAGCCTTCTTGCCTGTTGGGGTGGCGGTGTGTTGCGTGATCTTGTTGCGTCCACACCGTCTGCTGGTCACATGGCAGCTGCTGCAGAATTGCTTGAGGTTTGCGGCAACCCCGTGCTGCGGTCACAATGTGCCCTATGGCCGCATCACAAATACCTTGCACCCGCCTGTGTGAATTATTTCTCATTCGTTCTATGTTATAGCTCACGTTTTTAGTACTGATGGGTTCCCACACCGCATGCTCCCCAAACCTCACAGTACGAGTTTGAGGCTCCGCCCTCCATGCGGTACAGCCCCGGCCAGTTCGCATCGTTTGACTTCACGGTTGACCAGGGAGGGGGGACGCGGTCCGTCATCAACCGCACCTGGACCATCAGCAGCCACCCCGAGGAGACGGCGGCAAGGTGGGTGAGGGCGGCGCACCCAGCGGCTCTTCGTGTCTGGCGGTAGTACTGCTCACGTACTCAGGGGTGTGGGCTGTGTCCGGGCGCGCACCTCTTTGTGCTCGTGTAGAGTCTGCATGGAATGGCAGGCATTCACATGGTACACTGGCAACCGTGGCGGGTTGTGGCGACTGTGGCGGACGTGCAAATCAGCCATCGATGTCACCGGTGCATCCCTGCCCCTGCCTGGGTCGCCTTTGTCCCACCACTTTCGCAGCGGGCGCTTCTCCATCACCGTTAAGCGCGCCGGCCTCGTGTCAAGCCTGCTGTTTGATTCCGCGACGCCCGGTGACGCGGTGGCGTTCCGAGGGGTGGGCGGCAGCTTCACGCCCGTGACCAACAGCACCCGGCCTGCCCTGCTCGTGGCAGGCGGCATCGGTGAGCGGCGGTCCGCTGGTATTCCTCAAGGACGGCCATGAGCTTCCCATGTAGTGCTGCCGGCCAGTACAGCATGTTCCGGGGTGCAGCATGTTGCACGTTTCGTTCGGCAGTTGAGCGTCCTCCCGGTCTTCTTATGATCACACGCCAATTCATCCCATGCCCCATCGGTTTGCCAATCTCTCCTGCCCCCCATCTGTTGTGGCTTATCGTGATGCTTTGCGCCGCTCTTGACCCCTCATGGTCCCTCACTCGGCGCCCCTCCCCCCAACCTGGCGAACCCCAGGCATCACCCCCCTGCGCGTCATGTTCAAGCAGCTGCTGTCCGAGGGCCGCGCCGCCACGCTGCTCTACTCCGTGCGCAGCCCCCAGGAGGCGGCCTTCCTGCAGGAGCTCACTGAGCTAGCCCAGACGCAGGCCGGCGCTGCTGACGCCGGCGCCGACGCCGGGGGCGGTGCCGAGGATAAGAGAAAGCCGCCCAGCGCTGCTGTCGTAGCCACTGTCACGGGCAGCGCAAACGGGGCCTGGGGCGGCCGGCGCGGGAGGATCGATGAGGCGTTGGTGCAGGAGGTGGCAGGCGGCGGCGGCCTGGCGGGGTGGGAGGTGTACATGTGCGGGCCGGAGGCGTTCATGGCGGCGGTGGAGGGGGTCCTGGTGGGCTGCGGTGCCGAGGCTGCCCACATCCACACTGAAAGCTTCAGCTTCTGATGCCGCTGGTTCACGCTGCCCCAAAATCTTCACTGTACGATACCATTGTGTCACCATGTCGGTGCTGCTGCACAGGCTGGCATGCTTCCATACATTTGATAGTGGGTGTGCACTTGGAGCTTACTTCCTGCCTACCACAAGCCGTACCACAACTGTTGTGCCGACTTCGTTGAGCATCATGGCGTGGAGTGCGTCCACGATGGACGTGGAAAGCTGCAACTTTATGGCAGCAATGCATGTGGACTTGTGGAACAGCGCAACCGCTGCGTGCACACAGAGTATCGCGAAGCCTCTGACTCCGCTTTGCTGTGATGGCCGTGGAGTGTGCCAGCATTTGCTGCTGTTGTACAACCACCTCCTTGAGCTTGCCTGCTGTGTCGATTGTTTCACCAACCACCACCAAATTCAGTGCTTGAGCATAGCACTGCTGAGTAAGCCATACTACCATCTTTCCTTGTGAGACCAGCTGGGGCAAACTTCAGCACAATCTGGAGGCTCTCTATGTCCTGTCAAATTGCTAGCAAATTGGCGTGTGAGATGCGCTGCCTGACGAGCCTTGCCATGCGTGATCTTGTTGAGTGCAAGCGCGCTCAGCAAATCACACAAGTATGCCTCTGTATCGAAAGAGTAATGCAAGCCAGACCCTAATTGATGCAATTTCGCACGTAGCATGCTCGCCCACTGTACGGGGGGGTCGTCTTAGTCATCATCTTGAACAAGCGTATCGTGCTGGCGTCTTCAGTGGCACGTCATCATTCTGAGTTTGTGATGCGCGCGTGCTTCGGCAAACCACAGCTGTGCCTGGACATGATGATCCTCGTGGTCATGGAGTTTCGTAAGCCCCAACGGTGCGTCGCCCGTGACGCATATCGTTTCTCAGACCGATACCTTTTGTAGTGCCTGAATTTTATACAAGGCTTTGTTTGAAAAAAGGGCAGCCACCCTGATGCCTGTACACGCATTTTCTACCCGTCGCTGCACGCTCCACCGGTCGTTCGGCAAGGGGTTCGTGCACTTTGCATCAGACAGGTTGCGGCTGCTTATTCACCGCGTTTACGGCGCGTCTCGTCAAGCAGCGCCCATCTCGTCCCAGTCCCCTGGCCGCTCCCCTGGCCGCTTGCACACCCGCGCGCCCGGAACTGGGCAACCGAGGCCAGGTCGTACCCTAGCCATGCCGGAGGTGCCAGCTGCCAACGCTGACACTCTCAGCCCCTTCCACTGTGGGGAGCAGCACGTGCAGCGCAGGGCCGGCGTGCGCGACAGGACCGAGGATGTCGGTGAGCGGCCAGGCCTGCGCCGCTACGCTCGCTGTTCGCAGGAATTCAAGTTTTGCAGTTCCAGTCCCAGTGGTCCTGCCCATGCGCAAGCCATTCATAATGAGACGAACGGATACGCCGCATTCACCTTGCATGACCGTTGGCGGATGTGCCTATGCACATGACACAATGCCAGCTTGCCAAAAGCCATGACCTGCTTTGGGCCCGGGCGCACTGTGCAGGTCGCCGCTTCATCCGTCCGTTCATGCCAGACCAGCACCGCGAGTTTTACGCAGAGCTGGTGAGCCCCGGAAAAGTTGATGGACCGCACGGCATCGCCGCTGTGTGCGCCTCCAGTTGCTTCTTGCCCTGTCGGCCGTCCTGTCAGCCCAAGGCGGCAGTTGGTGGGGTCGCAAGTGTGCTGCAAAGGGATGACGGTGCTGCGCTGGCTTGCACCTGAATCCTGCCACTGGCAAACATCGTTTCAACATTCATCAAACGAGCGCATGGGTGCACGCCAGGCAGACGCCACCATGCACAGTCTCCACAAGGAGTCACCACAGGGGCAGCAGCCGAGAGACTGACCCATTCACCTTGCAGCCGCCCGCCGTCCACCAATCCCAGATGTTATTCTTTGTGGGCAGCGTGGACGCGGAGGGGCGCCCCTGGGCCTCAGCGCTTTTTGGCCGCCCGGGATTTGTCTCTTCGCCAGACCCCCACCACCTTGTCATTGCGCCTGGCAGCCGCAACGCCGCAGGTCTGTGGGGGAAGCACAAGCGGCACCCATTGTACGTATTGAGGCCAGAAGACAAGAGAAGGTGGCGACGTGTCGACGGCAGGGGACTGGGTTGTTAGGCGGCGCTCAACATCCAAAATCAGGGCTGGCTTCATTCCGCTGCGGTTGGCCCGCTCGGCTAAGCTGCTTCTGTGCCCGCCACGCATAGGTCACAAGGCACCCTCCCAGCACCCAATCAATGTTCTCGTGCTGCTACGCAAAACAATGCACTGCAGACCCAGTCAACCTGGCCGTGGGGTCCAAGGTGGGCGCACTGGGCCTGCAGCTCCACACCCGCCGCCGCAACCGCGTCAACGGCACAGTGGTGGCCGCCACCCCTGAGGGCGGGCTGCTGCTGCAGGCCGACCAGTCGTTTGGCAACTGCCCAAAGTACATCCAGGTGGGGGGTGGGACTGGGTTCCCCAGTAAGGGCCCATTTCCTTCATCCTGCAACACGCAGCGCCATAGCAGCCAAGCGCACCTGGACAGGTGCTGCACCGCTTGTGCAACAAAAGGCGTTCTCGCCTCGCCTCCGGATGTGCTTGCTGCTGCTGCTGCTGCTGCTGCTGCTGCTGCTGCTGCTGCTGGCGCTCTCTCCATCGTGCTTCCATCGACCCCCACTTCGTCATCCCCCCTCGATGTGCTGCCGCCATCAGACGCGTGACATCACTCTGGACGAGGACCGCCTGGCAGCCCACCACGCTGCCTCCGCCGGCGCGCAGCTGACGGCCACGGCCAGCCCCTCGCAGCAGCAGCAGCAGCAGCAGCAGCAGCGTGGCGCCGGCGCCCTGGGCCGGCGGCAGCGGGCGCTCATAGCGGGCGCCGACACCTTCCTGCTGGCAACGTGCCTGCCGCCAGGGCGCGAGGAGGTGAGGGCCCCCAGGGTGAGGGGCCTGCACATGCTTGAACTGACCTCCAGGCGGCCTTTCCTATATTCCTGCTTTCTGAACCACCCATACATGCGGCTGGTGGAGTTTCTGGCTGCGGCAAGTTGGCCAACGCATGATTGCGCCCAACACCCGCACCGCCCGCGAGCAGGGGGACGGCACCGCGGGCCCTGCCCGCACGGCGGCCACCGGCTGCGATGTGTCCCACCGCGGTGGTCCCGCCGGCTTTGTGGAAATTGACGAGGCAGGCCTGCTCCTCGCTGACGTGGCCTGACTACGTTGGCAACAACTTCTTCAACAGTCTGGGTGGGTCTCGGGGTTCTTGGTGGAAGTCAGCTGTTGCTGACATTGTATCCAGTTGTTCCATACGCTCTTGCTGTTTCCTTCAAGTCGGCTTGCTGCACACTGCTGTGTGGGTGTCCTCAAGGCTGGTGACCACAGCAAAGGGTGAGACATCCCCCCCGTTCCTCCCGCACAACGCAGGCAACATCACCGCCAACCCGGCAAGCGGTCTGCTTTTCATCGACTGGCTGACGGGTGACACCCTGCAGGTCGCGGGGGAGGCGGTTGTTGACTACGACGACACGTCACTGCCGGGGGCGCAGCGCACCCTGAACTTTCAGGTGAGCGGGTGTTTACGGTACTGTAGAAGACAAACATGCACTTGGGCCGAGACAGCCGGGTGCACCAACAGAGGGGCAATTCACAGCTGCTGGGCGGGCACGCGCTCGTGCGTCCCATTCGTTGAGGTGCCGAGGAGGACAGGCAGCCTGAACAGGCCGCATCCCCCATCCCTGCTCGAGGCAAAAAGGCCACAGCCCACGCCGCTGATGCCGGCCCGCGCACGCCTTGCCACAGGTGCGCGAGTGGCTTCACACGCCTGCTGCGCTGCCGATCCGGCCGGCGCCCGTTATCGAGCCCAGCCCCTACAACCCGCGCCTGCTGGCCGGCGCCGGGCCCGCGCCCAAGCCTGTGCGGCTGGTGCGTGTGGCCCTGGAGGCGGAGGGCATCAAGACGGTGAGGCGCTCTCGGGCCAGCCTGCTGTAGTGTCGATTGCACTGCAAGCCTTCTTGCCTGTTGGGGTGTATTGCGTGAACTCGTTGCATCCACACCGCTGCAAAGAACAGGCCAGATGCCGCAGAACTTCGTGGTTGTGCGGCAACCTCGTGCTGCGGCCACAATGTACACTGCCGCCGCACCTGAAGCACGTTGCACCGCCTCTGTGATCCTTCTTACGATTCTCCATTGTTGATCACGTTTATTGCTGTTGTGTTTTCAAACCTCTCACATCCCAAACCCGGCAGTACGAGTTTGAGGCCCCCCCGTCCATGCGGTACAGCCCCGGCCAGTTTGCATCGTTTGACTTCACGGTTGACCAGGGAGGGGGGACGCGGTCCGTCATCAACCGCATCTGGACCATCAGCAGCCACCCGGAGGAGACGGCGGCAAGGTGGGCAAAGGCGGCGCAAAGGCGGCGCTCCCGTCGGCTCTTCCTGGCTGGCAGGGGTGCTGCTCACGCACCCAGGGGTGTGGGCTGTGTCCGGGCGCGCACCTCTTTGTGCTCGTGTAGAGTCTGCATGGAATGGCAGACATACACACGATACACTGGCAACCGTGGCGGGTTGTGGCGACTGTGGCGGACGTGCAAATCAGCCATCGACGTCACCGGTGCATCCCTGCCCCTGCCTGGGTCGCCTTTGTCCCACCACTTTCGCAGCGGGCGCTTCTCCATCACCGTTAAGCGCGCCGGCCTCGTGTCAAGCCTGCTGTTTGATTCCGCGACTCCCGGTGACGCGGTGGCGTTCCGAGGGGTGGGCGGCAGCTTCACGACCGTGACCAACAGCACCCGGCCTGCCCTGCTCGTGGCAGGTGGCATCGGTGAGCGGCTTTCTGCTGGTATTCCTGAAGGGCGGCCATGGGCTTCATGTGCTGTGCCGCCAGCAAGTACAGCATGTTGCGCGTTGCCTCCCACAGTGGAGCGTCCCCCGCTTCCCCTAATGCACACAAGCTAACCTCTGCGGCCCCCCAACTTTCTCTGATTCATGGTGCTGCCTGGCGCCGCTCCTGACCCCTCGTGCCCCCTCACTCGGCGCCTCCCCCAAACCTGCTGGCGGACCCCAGGCATCACCCCCCTGCGCGTCATGTTCAAGCAGCTGCTGTCCGAGGGCCGCGCCGCCACGCTGCTCTACTCCGTGCGCAGCCCCCACGAGGCCGCCTTCCTGCAGGAGCTCACCAAGCTGGCCCAGGCGCAGGCCGGCGCTGCCGACGCCGGCGCCGACGCTGGGGGCGGTGCCAAGGAGCCGCCCCGCGCCGCCGTCGTGGCCACGGTCACTGGCAGCGCAAACAGGGCCTGGCGCGGGCGGCGCGGGAGGATTGATGAGGCATTGGTGCGGGAGGTGGCAGGCGGCGGCGGCCTGGCGGGTTGGGAGGTGTACATGTGCGGGCCGGAGGCGTTCATGGCGGCGATGGAGGGGGTCCTGGTGGGCTGCCCACATTCGCACCGAGAGCTTCAGCTTCTGACGTCGCTGGGTCGCACCGCACCAGCTTTTACACAGTACAATACGGTTGTGTTACCATACAGGTGCTGCTGCACAGGCCGGTATGCTTCCTTACCGCTGATGGGAGTGGGTGTGTGCTTGAAGCTTGCTTCCTGCCTACCGCAAGCCGTTCTGAAGCTGTTGTGCCGACCTCTTTGCGCATGACGCCGTGGAGTGCGTCCACGATTGACGTGGAAAGGTGCAGTTATATGTTTCTTTTACTATGTTTTGCAACAAATGTGAATGTGTACAACAGCGCAACCGCTGCGTGCACACGAAGTGTCTTGAAGCCTCTGACCCCACTTTGCCGTGGTGGCCGTGGACTGTGCCAGCATTTCTTGTTGCTGTACAACACCGTAAATTTCGTGAGCCTGCCTGCTGTTTGAAGATTTCCACCGATCACCACAGTATTAGTGCTTGCAATTGAGCAAATCACTGCTTTGTAAGTCATGAAGTTCATCTTGCAATCTCCTTGTGAGACCAGCTTGGGCAAACTTCAGCAGAATTTGGAGGCTCCGTGTAGTCATAATGGCATGTTGGAGGCCGCTTGACGAGCATATCACACGATCCTGTTGAATGCAAGCGGGTTCAGCAAACCACACATTCATTTCTGTGGTGAAAAGGAGTTCAGTCCGGACCCTGCTCATTGCAAATCCAGGCATTGCGGCAAGCAGCATGCTGGACTGGGGTCGCCCTTGGCCTCCCTTAGTAAACGTGTTGGACAAGAGAAACGTACTGGCGTTTTCACGGGCACGTAATCATGGGTTTGCAGTACTTGCGTTGGCAAACGACAGCAGTGCTGGCGTCCGTGCAATAGCATGCTAACATGCAAGCAGGATGGGAATTTGTGCATACACATGCCTGCCTTGAAATTGAAGTGTGTGATCCAGCATCACAAAGGGGCATGCTGCTTTTTTGCCGTCGGCCGCCCCGGGAGCAGCAGGGACGTTTCCTCACCGGTCGCATGCAGCACAGTGCGAGCGGCCGCTCTGCGTCATGCAATGCGAGTGTGTCCGTCACTCCATGTGGTGCCGTCCCACGTTGCAGTCTTTACGGTAGTGTATGCACACACTAAGCGTGCAGCATGGTATAATACCATACTGTAGTCTGCGATACCGTCGCTGCACCTGACCCTGCGAGAACCAGCCGCTCGTGAGCAGCTGGTGCCCTTGTCTAGCCGGCTCGCCGGCCTGACATGGATGAGAAGACGTGCAATCATGCAAAGTTGCACAGGGCCAAAGGCGAGCAGGTGCGCGGACTGGCGCCAAAATCGTCGCAAGAGCTCGGGCGTCGTTACATACAAGATTTTGAGTATTTTATATTCGTTGTAATTGCTGGGGTTGCTGTTCGCCGGGCAGGAGAGTCAGCCTATGGCGCGCCACTTCAAGCCGCTGCAGTGGCTGATGCTTTTGCTCACAGCGCGCGCTTCACCATGACCCAACTTTCCTCGCCACAGGCAGCCCCTTCAGCGGTACACGACCATGCAATGACAGCTGCGCGCAAACGCCCGCGGCTGGCGGTGCTGCTGCTGTCGGCGGTGCTAGCCGCCTTGCTGCCCCGCTTGACTGAGGCCGGCCTGGACATGCGGCTTCGTTTGGGCGTGCCGTTTGCGTTCAACCCATCGGTGCGCGCGCGTGAAGCCGCAATTGCTTTGCTGCGTCCTGGCGGCCGCAGCTGGCCTCCATCCTTGTGCCCGCAAGCAGCGGCATGCATCCGTCTCTGGAACGCGGTCACAAACTCGAGACAGCAACAATGTGCACTCAAAGCAGTCGGCGACGCAGTCCACGGCCCCAACACACGTGCTGCCGCAGGTCATAGCACTCCCTGAGGGCGGCTACCTGACAACTGCGCGCACCGCCTACATGAAAGGTGCACATTCGCGCGCCCGCTGCCGCTCCCCTACGCCCTGCAACTCTCCTCCCCGTCGTGCCTCCAGCACCAAAGACTCGCTGCACCACTGCAGCAGCGCTCTGCGTGGACGGGAGCACCACCCTTGCCTGCCCTGGGACCTCTGCTTGCCTGACCCCCCATCACAACAACGGTCAAGTAGTCGGCATGCCTCTCAAGCGCTTAGCCCTCCCCCCCCATTCGTCCCCCTCCCCTCTCCAGGCGTTGCGGGCCGCTGGTGGTGGATCAACAGCGCCTACATCTGCCGCGACACCGACATCAACTTCCCCCAGCCCGCCTGCCGCCGCTACGACCCCTTCGGCGGCCGCTTCCAGGAGTGCATGTGGCGGGGCCTCGTGGACACGCGCGGGATAGAGGACCCGAAGCTCTTTGTGTGGCCGGGGCGCGGCGTGTACGCGGTCTTCAACCGAAAGCCCCGCGCCATCGCCCGCCCCGACGCCGTGCTCGCCTACGGCACCCCGCCCGCCCCCGAGGCCTGCCCGGACGACGAGCCCTGGCTGCAGCAGTTCATCGCCGCGGTGCGGCCCAGCGCCGGCGCCGGCGAGTGGGCGCTGCGGGAGCCGGTGGCGCTGCGGGTGACGGTGCCCGGCTTTTACGACGAGCAGCGGGCGAAGCGGCAGATTATAAAGGAGAAGAACTGGATGCCGCTCGTCGCGGACGACCGGCTCTACATGGTCCACTCCATCCACCCGCAGCACCTGGTGTTCCAGATCGCTCGCGACGGCTCGACGCCGCGGCAGCTGGCGAGCAGCTGGCCGCCGCGGCTGGGGGCGCTGCTGGAGGGGCGCGACGTGCACGGGGGGCCGCCGGCGGTGCACGTCACGGGGGCCATGCTGGAGGGCGCGGGCCTCGGTGGGGGTAGCAGCGGCAGTGGCGATGGCGTTGACAGCGGCGCAGGAGGCGGGCGGCGTCGCGGCTACCACCTTGGTGTGCTGCACTACTTCACAAAGAACGCCACCTGGAGCAAGACGCGCGGCAAAGACACAAAGGTGCGCGGTGCTGGGGAACGCCTGGGCAGTAGGGTTGCTCGAGTGGCTGGCTCGACCGCGGGGCTGTGCTGGGCCTGGCTCTGGCGGCGCGTTGTGCAACCGCTGCAACGAACGGGGGCTGGCGACGACCCCTGCTTGATGGGGCCGCAGAATTGTTCGCCTTCAAGCCATGCGCCGTGCCAAAGCCCCGTCCCACTCCTTCATCGCCCAACCCACCGAAAACCCCTGCATCTGCACCCCTCCACCTAAACCCTCGCCCTGACCCTTCCCCAAACCCTGACCCTTAACCCCCTCCCGCCAACCCTCCTGTCTCCCATGACCACACCGCAGTACTATTTCCACTACTTCTACAAGATGAGGGACGAGCCGCCCTTCGCGCCCTGCGCCCTGTCTGCCGAGATACCGCTCGTCTTCCGCAGGGCGCGCCCCGCGGCCAATGGCGAGGCGCTGCGGCGGCAGCGCATCTGGAAGGACACGAGCCACACCGCCTTCGTGTCTGGCCTGCACCTGCAGGGGACGCAGCAGCAGAACCAGCGCGCCAACTCCTCGGCGTCGGCGGGGCGAGGCGGCGGTCACGGCGGAGGCAGGGGAGGGACCGGGGCGGGCGCGGCGGCGGGGTCTGAGCCGCGGCTTCTGGTGAGCTACGGATCCAGCGACATCGACGCGCGGCTGCAGATCCTGACGCTGCGGCAGCTGGAGGCCCTGTTCGCAGGCCTGCCAGACACGTGCTGAGCGGAGCGGCATGGCGCGAGCCTGCCGCGAGCAGCGCCGCCGGGCCGCCGACAAGGCGGCGCAGGCCTCGGCTCTTGGGGGCGATGCCCTGCTGCGTTGGTTTGAGTTTTGGCCGTCTTCGACAACCGTCTAGGGCCCACGTATTGATCGCCTTGTGTGCCGTTCACCACATCACTGATGTGCGCGCGTGCTTCAAACGCCCATTGCCCTGTGAGCGCGACGAACGGGCCGAGCATCACAGGCTTGGTCTGCCATTGCAGGTGCCAGGGGAGTGCGGCCACCGCAAGAAGAAATGCAGCGCCTGACCCAAAAACCACCTTTACCATAGAGTTCCTTCCTGCATCCTGCATTTCGAGCTGCTCACCAGAGCTCGTGTTTTTCAACCGTTTGACCGCCTGGAGGCATTGCTTCGCGTGCACACAACGCACACCACACCACCCATTGCGGCGAACGATTGGCAGCCCACACGTTACTGCCCCCCGCCCCCCTTCCTCGCGTCTGGCGCGCATCCGCGCGAGACCCGCCATCATCGGCGCTCATTCTCGCGTGCAGCGCGCTTGCCCTTTGCTTTTGCTGTTCCGAGCCTTTGCTTGACAAGCACACAGAACCCCGGCACCATTTGCACACGCAGGTGCTGACTCACACGACGCTCACCTCACCAACGATTTGCCTGCTGCCGAAACGAGCTCTGCCGTGCTGAGCGTGGCACACCCTTGCACCGCTGCGCAGGCTGCACCCGTCTGCACGGGGTTTGATTTTGGGTTTTATTTGTAAGCTCGCAAGCTCTTTGCTCGACGGGACGGCTCCTGGTTGGCAACCAGCAAATAAATTACTATCAAGTATGGAAAGAGGGAAGTGGGTTGGGGGTTTGCCGCCCGGCGACGCCCTGGAAGCTGGCTGCAGAACTGCAATCCAGCAGATGAACGCATGTACACGAGCCACGAAACTGGCGGCAGATAAAGCCAATGCATGCTGCAATGAGGCTGCCGGCAAAGCAATGGAGGGTGTGCTCGTGGGCGGCGAGGAGGCATGCGGGCACCTCGTGCCTTGTAAACCGGCAGCGGCGCCGTGCGGAGAGGGGCAAGTCACAAGATTTGGCGCGCTCTTGACAGGCCATCGCAGCAGGTTGTTTTCAGGGCACAAAGCGTTCACACGTCCCGGCAGCTTGCGAGGCACAGGCGCACCGACGCGACTGCACCAACAAAAAAACCCACGAAACCGCCCCCGTACATGCGCGTTCGGGATCAGCCCCTGCACGACGGCGACATCACCATGACGTCACGTCAACGCTCATGCGATGCTGTAGATGGTCAGCAGCTTGTCGTCCCCCGCGCTGGCCAGCCGCGTGCCGTCGCCGCTGAACGCCAGCGCCCAGACCTGGTCCGTGTGCTCCCCCAGCGTCTGAACGCACGCCCGGGTCGACAGGTCCCACAGCCGCACCTTGGCGTCACTGGAGCTGGTGGCAAAGGTGGCGCCGCCAGGGTGCACCGCGACCGACAGCACCCACGACTCGTGGCCTGTGGGGAGGGAGGGAGCCCAATTTGGAGGTGGGGGCATGTTTGTTGACCACAGCAAGTGTCAAACTTACCAGGTCAAAGTCATGGCACCTTGAAACCTGCAGCCATGCAACCTCTCACACACACATGTTTCAATGGCAGTCCAAGCAGGCGCAACTCACAAGGCCCTCCCTCTGGTCATCGATGCTTCTGCCTCCCCCTGTCCCACCCGCATGTGCCCACAGCCCGCCCAACCGCCCACCCACCTGAGAACGAGTCCACCAGGCCGCCGCTGTGAGTGTCGTACAGATTGGCATGGCTGTCGTCACTCCCCGTAAGCAGCAGCTTGCCGTCTGCGTTTGCCGAGGGCAGGGGCCGTGCAGGAGCAACAGACATGCTCGGAATGCTTGGCTGCGCGTGCCATGCCTGGCGCAACATCGTGCGTCCAAGAAATGCCTGTTTTAAGAATTCTGCCTGCTGCAACACCTGCAAGACAGAACCCAGCCTTCATCAGTTGAGCAGCCGACATCCCCGGTGACCGGACTGGCGTTGGCTGCAGTCAGGAGCGCACCCTCTCGTCCGGCCCATGCTGACAGGACAGCACCCACCTGGCGTGAACGCCAGCGTCCGCACGGGCCGGTGGTGGCCCTTAAGGCTGTGCAGCAGCTGCCCAGAAGCTGCGTCCCATATCGCCACGGTGCCGTCCATTGCTGAGGCGGCGACCAGCCTGAAGTCGGGGCTGAAGGCCACCGCCAGCACAAATCGCTCCCGCTTTGTGCCGCCATCAACCTGAAAACGAAGGGTTTGCAGCCGTTGGACATGATAAGGAATGGTAGTGACCACCAATGGGTGACGGAGGTGTCACCAGACACCAGGTGTTGCGGCTGCCAAGACACCGCCTGCATCGCAGCCGTTGGCTTTCATGGCTGAACAAGACGCAGCCAGCCCATCAGCTTGAAACGGGCGACACCCTTACCGCTGGTAGGGACAGGGTCGCTTCCGGAGCGGGGTCCTCCGCGCCAGCCCGGTACACGGTCACCACTTCCTTGCTGCCCCCTGCTACTGCGATGCGCACCGCATCCGCGGACACGGGGCCGAACGCAACGCCCCAGCTCTCCGTGGGGAGGGCCTCTATGTTGAATTTGGACTCCGCGGCGGCTGGGTCCCACACGCGCACGATCGAGTCGAGCGCATTGCAGGCGGCGAACTGGCCGGTGGCGTCGACCGAAAGCGACACGGCCCCTAGGCTATACCCCGCAAAGGTGTGAGCTGGGGTCGAAGGTGGGTCGTTGCCGGTGACATCCCAGAGCTTCACTTGCTCGTCCACCGAGCCCGTGAGTAGCTGTGATGTGCCGGGGATCCATGCTGCGCACCAGATCCCCTCCGCGTGAGCTCCCGGGAGCTTATGAAGGGTAGAAGCTCGCATGGCCGCTGATGATCGCCGTTGCGCAGGAACGGGCGGTGTGCAAGAGCCTGGCGAGATCACTACGGTAGTGTTTTGTCGGGCTTCCAGGCGCAGTACGGTACCTGAAAATATTACACCCATGCCCGTTCAATAGCACGCTGCTCAGTGGCAAGAGCAATTCAATCTTACCGTACAGCACTTCCCGCAGATCAGCTCTGGTGTTGCTCAGTCATCTACAGTACCGTGTAGCCGAGCCAACGGAGCCCAGTGGTCGCGTCCACTCGTTCACATCTCTCGTTTATCATCTACATCTGCTGCACGGACGTCCTAGGCCCCTTGCGTGGGGGACGAGCAGCGCGTGCGCCGCTTGCTGCGGTGCAAGTGCGGCATTGCGGCTGGCAGTGTTGCTCAGCGGGAGGGACACTCTCCTGTGAATTTGCGCAGAGAAAATTGACCACCCAAGCCTCTCTGCTGAGTTTTGGCTGCGGTGGTGGGAGGTGGCAGCGCTCAACGTCTGAGCGCGCCGGCAGTCACCCAGGCTGACGAAGAGCTTGCGCAGCTGCGGCGCGAGTGTTGGCAACAGCGGCGGGGGTGGCACAGTGCCAGCGGCGGCATCAGCAGTACCGCCATGGCCCCAAAGAAAAAGCTGGGCCAGATCCTGATCAAGCTCGTCAGCCAGGCCGGCACGGGTGAGCACCCCTGTGGGCTGGGCACATCGCAAGTGCGCGCGCCCTGCCGGCGGCCCCTTCAACCCCTGCTTCCAGCCCCTGCTCAGAAACCCTGACAGAGCTGCTGGGCATCACTCTTGCCACAATTCCGCCAGCCTGCGCCTTGCGCCGCCAACCACCGCCGCCCTTACCCCCACCCCCAAACGCCACTGCACACCCGGACCAACTCCCCCTTCCACTCGGGCCCCCAGGCTTCTTTTACGTGACCAAGAAGAACCCCCGCAACGTGCCCTACAAGCTGCAGCGTGTAAAGTACGACCCAGTGGTCAATCAGCACGTGCTCTTCTCAGAGTCAAAGCTGAAGTGACGTCATCGCGGTGACGCACAAGTGGCGCGACCGCCGATGCAATCGAGCGACCGCTGGAGTTGAGCGGGCTTGGTCTTTGGTTGAGTTCCTTGACCGTAGATTAGGCGTAGCGCACAGGTGGTGCGCATCGGCAGCGCTTGTGCCGCGCGACGCGGTCGGCGTTGGTGCCCTTGTGCTTCGGCAGCGCTAGACGCAGCGGCAGCAGGAGCGGCGGTCATGTGGCAGCGTGGCTGCGGGCGTCCGAGCCAAACACCACCCTCAGCCCGCTGGAAAGCTGCCATGGATGCTGCTGCCACTTGATGTTGTGTGGTGGAATGTGACTTTGCTGACGCCTTGTCCCTATTTTACTCCTGGTTTGTTTGACTGCATTTATTGCCAGTTCAATCCGACGCTATCATGTTGATGCCCCTTGGGGTTGATTGTCGCCGCATGGCCACAAATGCAGCGCAGGGTCCCCAGGGCAGGGCACATGGGTCCCATGAGAGGCTGTGCGCTACCCAACACCCAGACACGCAGAGAGCCTGCTTTGGGTGGCGGTCAAGGGAAGCCTCGGCTGGCGGCTGCAAAAACCTGTGGTGGACACACGAGAGGCAGTTACCAGTGGGAGTTGCAGGGAATTGTGAACGACCAGGCCAGGTCAAAAGACTGGATATATTGCAACACATTGAAAGCCACATCAAATTGCAACCTCAGCGATGGTACCGAAAACACATGCCTTAGCGCCCTAAAAACCTGGGCTGCTGCATGCACGACAGGTGCTGAATGATTTGCAGTGGGGCGCGATGCCTCATGAGGGGCCTTTGAGGCACCAAAACAATCCACTGCAGCCGCCGCCGCTATGGACGCAGGTGCTGCGCTGCGGGTACGTTGCCGCCCTCGCGTTGCCGGGCCCGCGTCACCGCGCGCTGCTGCTGCTGCCGGCCACCATGGCGTGCTCTATGGTGTACATTTTGGCGAGCGAGTTGAAGCCCCGCTGGTCCCCGTTGCGCAGGAGGTTGCCTGCGCGCGCACACCAGGGGGGGGCGGGGGTTGGGTTAGAGCCTCAAACACGGACATGCTGCAGGCGCACCCACAGGCCCACAAGTTTTCCAGGTTTGTGTGCGTGTACACGCACGCACGCACGCACG